CATAAAGGTGCTATGCTTGATACTATCGATGGCGGAAACACGAATGCTATAGTGGTTTTATTGCAAGGCTGGCTCTTTAACTTCTTGTTCGCTCTAGCGCTTTAGCGAAAATTATATTGTGTTTATCATCAACGCTCCGTGATTCCAATGTGCTCAAGTTCTTTTTTTTGTCGTTTTGGCTCGCTTTACGAAGTGAAGCTGGGCCTGCAAAACCGAATTTCCACTTTCACGCCGATGCAAGCTCATAAACGTTTATCAATCTTGCCAATTGTCTAGAATAGCTAGCGGAAGCTCTCGTACGACCGACCTCTTCGCTTCCGAATGTATAAACCGAAAATCTTTTCATAATTTACGAACTGCGGCTTCTCTTCTTTTTCTTCGACACCTTTAACTATTTTACTCGATTAGCTTACGGCAATCTGCTTTACACGTTATATCCGCGCGCTTCTTTTGGTAGCTCAGTCTTTTAAACGACTATTACGAAGATATATATGCTCAGACCGGTACGACACTACGAAGAAAAACGTTTTTTCTCGCGATATCGACGACGATAAAGCGAAAGAGAAAGAACTGGAATGAGGAGAGCTCGTCGGAAGAGTGTTTTACGGATTTTCGGATTTGTGTGTACGCCAAGGCTTAACCGCGCAAAGCTTTGCTCGACTTGGTCGCGACTTGGTCGAGTAGTAAAAGTGTCGGTTCCTCACTCATTGAACTCTAGGTCATTGACTTGCATATTAATAAACTACGAGTCAAGAGGGTAGGGATCGATGATTACCTACCCTGGTAATTACCCCTTTGGTGTTTACCGAGCTACGCAAGGAAAATACCCTTGGCGGTATTTTCTCGGAACCCCAACTTTTGCCACATAGCCCTTCGGAGCTACAGATCCCGAAATTCATTCACCCCTTAATACCACGGTACAGGCCTAAGTATTATCCCTCGAGGGTGCCTCAAAAGTCTAGTTTCCACTTTAAACCCTCTGCTTACCCTATCCTCGAGGGGTAATACTTACGCCTAGGACGTAGTATATTCGATAGAACTTGTATACTCTTTTATAAAAAGAGTATATTTATAAAAGAGTATACCTTTAGTCAGAAATCAATGAAGAACCATCATGACCAACTTTCAGTACTGAAGAAGAGAGCCTTTTTATTACCTGTTGCAATACACAGAAGAAGCTTCATTTATTTGACGTTTGTTTTTACCGGCAAACCAACAAAAAGGCTCGATACCCTTTATCGGACTCATTGAAAGAAACCTTCGCCGAGCTTTCTTAAAGTCGAGAAAAGAATATCGGGGTTTGAACTTCGAGTCAGGTTTACTTTCTTTTTCGTATCATCTATCTCGCTCGTAAAAGGAGGAAATACTTATTCGTTTCGATACGAAAGTCCTAGGACGAGGAGCGCATGCTGCGCTTATAGTCCGCTAGACGTTAATAAATACAACAATAACTACGAGGTGAAGCGATGTTTAGCGAGGTTACTAACGAGACTTTCCTATTAAGGTTCCGGCGGGATACAAAACTCTATTTGAGTGATTATGCATAAATCCAAATTTAGTAGTATATCCATTAACGTTATCTTGTTAAAACTTTAGTTCGAGATAATCGGAAAGAATCTTATTGACGATAAGTATAATAATCCTTGAATAACTTACGGAATTGATCGGTTCTTACCTTTTTTTTTTAAACCAACTTTCTACGCGATCGAATTTTCCGCAAATTTCTTTTTGAAACATCTATCCGATTTTTCGTTGATCTCGACGAATCAGGCAATCAAGGTGCTAGCGTTTATTAACTCGATGAGTAACATAGACTTTCCGATGCTTTCCCGGCTAAGCTTACGTCTTATCGATAAACAATACTTTATCTTATTGATCGTCGGTCCAATCAACGTGCTCAAGGGCTCACGTTAATCTATCGATAATATAACGACACGCCAGGTCTCTTGGGCGTATCCCCACATGCGCCAAGTTACCTCCTTCCTTTTTCCCTTTCCTTTGCATTCCCTTCGTATTCTTCGTATTCTCTTATTCCCTCCTTTTGATCTATGAACCATGGTTCACGAGTCCTTGGCGCTTCCTACCTTCGTGTATATAAACCTCAGCTATCTTCGACCTTTACATTCGGTAGTTATTGATTCTAAGTTATTACTTTAAGATCCTCCTAAGCTCTTATGTGAACCCCCGCGCTCCCGTGAGTTCCTTCAGGTAATCGCTTAAGGTCGTCACAGTGCTAGCGTTTATTAACTCGACGAGTGATATAGACTTTCCGGTGCCTTCCCGGCTGAGCTTACGTCTTATCGGTAAACGAGACTTTATCTTATTGATCGTCGATCCACCCAACGTACCACGGTACAGGCCTAAGTATTACCCCTCGAGGGTGCCTTAAAAGTTTAGTTTCCACTTTAAACCCCCTGTTTTCCCTACCCTCGAGGGGTAACACTTACGCCTGCGACGTAGTAATTTATCGATAGCGTAACCCGAAGTCAAAGGAGGTTGTCTTTGCTGAATTCGGCGAGCAAAACCTACTTTAGCTATAGCTATTCAAATAGCTTTTTATTTATAATTCAGATTTATGAAAGCGGGAATCTGATTCTAAATCGTTTCTCGAATAACTAATGACTTAAAAACCCAATCGACAATTCCTTTTCTCGTCGAAGTATCGAGCGTAATAAGTCGTTTAAAACGTTTTCGAAGTGTTATTTAATCTCGTAAAGTATTTTTAAATTAATCGAGAATGGATTTAATTTTAAAAACAATTTAAGATAATAAAAAACCAGCATCGTTGTATAAAATGTAAATACGTAAATCGATCGTTTCAAATAAGATCAAGAGCTTCAAGAGATTCTATTATCGATAATTAAAATATTGAAATTGAAAAGAAAGGTAAGAAAAAGTAGCATTAAAATACCGAGTAAATAGAATTTAAACTTGTTCGATACGCTTTTATTACATTCCCGATTCAATAAGACGCTTCTCCGATTTACTTCGACCTTTTCAAAAATCCTATTTCCTTTGATAAAAACCCTTGTTTCGTATCCTCGAGGGGATAATACTTACGTCTGGGACGTACTACGTCGCAGGCGTAAGTACGTCGCAGGCGTAAGTACTACGTCGCAGGCGTAAGTATTACCCCTCGAGGGTAGGGAAAACAGGGGGTTTAAAGTGGAAACTAAACTTTTAAGGCACCCTCGAGGGGTAATACTTAGGCCTGTACCGTGGTAGTAAGTACTATGATCCTATGCGTTCATCTATCTAAACTGGGGAAAGGGGTTGCAACGCTCTGTACGCGTTTGGTCCACTAGGTTTCAAAGTCAGAAACCGGCCTATAAAATCGGACTTTACTGTCCCATACAGTACAAACCGTATCAAGGTTTTTAAAGCCCCGTCCGGAGGACCTTTCCGATCCCGCAAACCCGAAAGCCTTTTTCGGAGAAGGCTTTTCCTCACGACACTTCAACCCCAGTCCCTTTTCCTCCCGAGCAAGCAGCACAGAGAGAAAGCAGCATGACCCGCAGAGAGTACGTATGCCACATACGTAGTACACGCTCGCGGCCCCCTGCAGAATATCCAGACGAGTTAAATTAACCGGCCTGAGAATTCGCAGGCCCATACGGACGACAAACGCCGTCAATGATGAGGAGATGGGACGGACGAGCGGAGGATCTTTGATGATGAGGCTGACATGTACCTGGTGGGGAGAGGATAAGCAAGCCATGCTACTCAAGTCCTTGTAATCTAAAAGTGGTATTGATAAATTTTTTACTTCTATGTCGTTCCAGAAGTAACAGGTGGTGGGTGCTGCTACCTATACTGGTCATCAATTATTATACCTAAGGCGGACAGCTGCAAGATCCAATTTAAATAACCACGAAATCAAAAAAAAAAAAAAAAAAAAAAAAAATTAAAGACAAGAATATAAGCCCATACGTACAGTACGAAGTCGCGTAATATTACCAAAAGCACCACCAAAACCGAAAAAACCTAATCCCTAAAGTCCGACCAAATCCCCTCCCTACTTTTGAAACTCTGCTTTGAAAAAAAAAAAAAAAAACCTTAGCGTACGCCAGACTAGCTTTCACATTCAAGCATACTACGTAAGTATAGCACAAAAGTATCTTAATATGCGATCATTCCGCAGATAAAACCTTACCATATGCTTGGCGGATACCGCCCCCGTAAACAAAAGAGAAGATACAAATTCAATTCAATCCAATCATAGAAAAAAAAAACAAATCTCTCAAGTTCAAATTTCAGAACTACTCCAAGTCCTTGCTTGCAAATCGCCAATGCAGGAATAGCAGAGAGAATGGTAAATCTTGCCAGGACGCCGCGCGGATCCTCTTTCAAATATCCTTGTATTATAAACACACGAGATACGTAGTTTTCTCAACTAATTCCAAGTTTTCGACGTGTTTTTCTTTCTTTTCTCATTGGTTTCTTAACATCAAGTTTCGTAATGCGTAAAGAAAAAGAAAAGAAAAAAGGGAAAAAAAAAAAGAAAAAGAAGAAGGGAATTCTAGACAGTAGTCGTCAAATACAACCACCCCGCCCCCTTTATCCCTTTCCTCCATTTGGCCTTTCGCAATTCGGATCTCACCACTCCACCTTCGAGCCCACCCTCCTGCGCTGTAGAAAAACGAAAGTTCAACCCCAACCCAGCCCAATCCAACCCAATCCAACTCAACCCAGACCTCCACCTCCACCCAGTCCGTTCCGCGGGCCTGGGTACCCAGAATACCAAATAGAAACCCATGCAGAAGAACAGAGATTCCCAGAAGCTAGGTAGGTATCGATCGAAGCCCAAAGAAAAAACAGAGAACAAAAACGAAAATAAAAGGAGATCCAACCAGATCCACTTCTGGTCCGCGATACGCTGCGCTATGCAAGTGCGTGTTCATGAGCATTCGGCCGTATCACATGATCTCGTAGCATCATATCCATGGACACCCATCTGCAGGATGTATAGTCGTCGTTTTGGACTTCGATATTTCTGCGGTTTACCAGCCCCCCCGTCTAGGCGGCGGTCCTCTCCCATCATAGATAATCTCCCTCTCGATGATCCTCTCATCCGAGAAGCCAGGATCGCGTTCCCATCGACGCTCTCTACGCTCCCACTCGTCTCGCTCGTGGTTCCGGCGCTCGATGCGCTCACGTTCACGTTGGATCTCACGAATGCGGTCCTGGCGCTCGCGGCGGATGGTTTCGGAGAGCTGGACTAGTTCTAGCACGTCCTCCTGCACTTTCATCAGTAGTTTATTTTAAGAGGATCAAGGAGGGAGAGGGGGGACGTACATAACGTAGATACTGAATGATGTAGAAAAAGAACTCCGTCTCCTCGAAGTCGTACCCCATCTCCTCAATCGCCTCCCTCACGACCAGATCTTTCGTAATTTCTGTCCACAGATCGCCCATTCTCTGTTTGGGTGGTGCTCGCGGAAAGCCCACTTGCTGGCTAGACGTCTCCTCGATCCTTTCATACTCGCGCTCGTACGAGCCACCTCCTTGTCGTCGACGGCTGGAACTCGATATCTCGATTTCCAGGCCACTGCCTTGGGATTCGCGTCTCGGCTCCTCGCGAATAAGCTCTCGCTCAACAACACGATCTCTCTCGCGCTCCCGCTCCCGCTCGGGAATGAATTTACTTCTGCGCACACCGTTGTATTTCTGCCAAGTGATCTCTTCACTCCCGCCGCCAACACCATCCATCGTCACTCGCTCTGTTCCGGGTGGGACATCAATGATGGCCCAGTCCTTCGTGGCGCCGTTGTATGCTTCACCTATGTATGCACGCTCTTTGGCTTTCCGCGCATAGTAATCGGCTTCATCTTCATCACCGCGGATATCGATTCGGACACGGCTTTTGCTTCGCTCTCTACGTTCGGGTCTGGCACTTACGCTGCGTCGATGACTGGCGTCGAGTCTGGCGTCTCGAAAGCGCAGTTTCTCCCGCTGTTGCTCGTACAATACGCTATCATCGTGGTAGTCATCGTGTCGGGCTGGAGGCGGGGATCGCGTGCTGACTGTTTTCTTGCGAATATCTACGTCGGTGTGATTTCCATGGGTGTAGATATCGATATCAGTTTCTTTGGTGCGCTGTTCGGTGCGGCGGGGTGGGGGAGAGGGAACTCGGGCGAGTTCAAAGCCTGTCAGCCGTTAGCAAGATGTCTGCAGGGCCAGGAAAGGCACGTACCATGGTCGATGTGTCGGTGGTGGGTGATAATTTCTTGGTGGATAGGAGGTGCACGAATCGGAGGGGGAGGAGGGGGTGGCGATGGTTCAGGGCTCGGCTGGCGGACCTGCTCGACATTGCGGATGCGTACTCGATCGATATGTGGAGATGGTGTGCGTTCTCTGATCTCCCTCTCTCGCTCAACAACCCTCTCACGTACCCGCACCGGCGAAGGAGACCGCTCGCGGAATCTCTCTCTCGTCTCAACCACTCTAGCACGCAGTCTCTCTGGTGGGGGAAGACTCGGCGATCTCTTTTTCTCAACAACTCGAGTCTTAGTCCTGACCCGCTCGGGGGGAGGCGAAGGTGAGCGTCGTTCGACGATTCGAGTAGTCCTCACTCTCTCGAGTTGTTGGGGCGGGGTAGGTGATCTCTCAATAATCCTCTCACGCACTACCCGTACTGGGGAAGGGGATCGAGGTCTGCGTTCCAACGGCCTAGAGTACACCTCCGTGTCTCGTTCTCTCAATACCATCTGTCCAGGCTCAGGCCGTCCGTAGTCGTCTCGGAGGAAATCTGGTCGACTGCCTCGCTCCGAGCCACTGCGCCTACTGCGGATATCTGAGTCCCCCCTCTCTCTCGTTCGCACAGGAGGTCCTTCGCGGGAGTAGTAATCGCGCTCCTCGTACACGGCCTCCCCACGTCTCGACATGGCGGGCTATGTGCGTTGGTTTACTTTGCTGTTTTGCGTTGTTCTATGTGCGGAGTAGTCTGGGCGGTGAAGACTCAACGGATGGATTATTGAATGGAAGAAGAATTGCAGCCGCAAAATTCTGTCGCCGCGGAGAAAAGGCGAGACGAGATGAGACTGCCTGTTGCCCGTTGGTGTCGTATCTGCAGTGTTTTGCAGTGCTGTGGTGGTGGTGGTGGTGGTGATGATGGTGATGTTGATGGTGATGGTGGTGGTGGTGGTGGTGGTGGTGGTGGTGGTGGGATGAATGACTGACTTTGTGGAGGGGTTGGGTTGGGTTGGATTTGGGTTTTGTGGGATGAGTTGGGCTGGACGAGAGCTGGGATCCTGCATGCCAACTTTAAGGGTACCGTGATGTCAGATTGCAGGAAGACAAGAAATAGAGAGCATAGAAGTAACTGACACGCATTCAGATTGAAGAACGGTCGAGTTAGAATATCGAGGTCGATAAGCTCTGAACCGGCGATAAGGATATGCTAATCTTTTCAAGTAAACAAAAGAGCGTGGAAAGGGGGTTCAAAGATGCCCGAGGCCGAAACCATCACGTGGAATGTCCCACTGGGACACCTGACTCTTCCCTGCAGATGAGCAGGTACCGGTAGGGAAGTCGAACATAGAACATATCAGAACGGTACTTGAATCTCTCCTACTGTACCTTTGCAAGCTACTTACTTCTAGTGAACGAAGGTACGGATGGGACAGATGCCTAGTATGTAGACAATTTGTTCCCTCTGCAGCATCGACACTGACCTTCCGTCCCTTTTCCGAAACATCCCATCCCATCCGCAACTAGAGCCGCCTGTCAACACATCTTTCGCTACAGCCCCGTGTAGGGCATAAAACTGCATCTCGACCGTCTGCCCTACCCGTCTCTTTCACGCGGAAAAAGTGCAGATCCGCCGTGGCAACTAGGGTAATCCTCCAATAGCGGTAGACAAGGGGCGTCGTTGAATGTACAGGAAGAGTACTTAGGAATACATCTTTTTCTCCACCTACAGATCAGAGGAATGCGAGTGGGTGGATGAAACATGGGAAAATCTTCACGCGACAGAAGATCATCACTTCTCGTACATAGCGGACCTGATGATTTAATGTTCACGGAAAATAAATTAACGCACGAGTCTTCGGGTGAAGAAGAGTTTGAAAAGCTTAGCCTGAGCGGAGAAAAGTCTATTCGCCGGCGATAAGGATGCCACAGAAGGGAAACAAGAGCAAGAAGAAGCTTGAGATATACTCCGTAGACACTCAGCATGTTTGCTCTACGGAGAGACAGCATGTTTGGCTGGCTTTAGATCTCGCTGCTATCGATGTAGTTCTCAAGCGCACTTCGCTTAGAATGAACTGTGCAACGCGAAATAGAAAGCCAGCCGGTCCAGACTTGCCTTATGGAAATGGAAGACGAGTGGTGAGATACAGAAAGACAGAAGCAAGCAATGTGGATCCGGTTCAGCCCAGCCCGCGTCCCATAATGCTGAACAATAAGGGGTCGCGTGGCTTTCGAATCTCGAGTAGTCGAGTAGTCACAACTCACTCACCCTTCCTCGGCTCAATCCTATTTGTCTGTCTGCTCTTGCTGAATGGCCATGACCGGCGAGAGAGGCGGTTGTCGGACTCGCCAAGGGCGACGGTGCTACCAAGATAGACAAACAGCAGCCACCGAGGACGAGGAGGAATAATCCAGGCCGAGGTATCTAAGCCTGGTATGGGAATCCAATGTTGCATTCCCTCGGCCCAGGTCGGAGAAGAAAGTCTGGGCTATGTGGCTATGTCATGTGAGCAAGCTGTGGGTAAGCAGATACTCCTTGAGTTTTCGAAAGGGGATTCGGGCACACTGCACCCCATTTGACCTACTTCAGCATCGCCCTCCCCTTCCACCCCCAATGTTCATGTCGTCGCTTTCGAGCCCTCTAGATACTCTGTACACCACACACGAGGAAACTTGGGAAACTTCTGGAGCGCCGACTAGCGCGTGAGCAGTGAGACATCGAAGTTTACCGGCCCACACAGGCCAGAGTCCGGATTCCAGCAAACCGAGAGATTATCCCGGTCTTCCATCCCTCTACCCTGCATACCGTCGCGCGGCAGCTGCATCTCCGTATTCTTTAATGAGCATGCGGACTCCCAGGCTCTGCGAGCTTGTTTGAACGTCCATCAAGAGGCAGAGGGCATGGTCATCTTGACACCAAGGTACTTACGGCTTTGCTCGCCGGGGGAAAGGCACAGACACCACCTCGGTGGGCGGCTGAGCAGCTGGGGAGGAGCCATACCCGTCACGACCAGTTTCTCCCAGAGAGGCTTGAACCAGAGCGTCGCTGGGTGAGACGATGGCGAGTATCTACCTATCCTCACCGAGGGACTAGTTGGCGGGAATAGTTACGGAGTTGATTGGCATCGCTAGGTCCTACGCATCCTGGACGACAGGTATCCTCGAATGATAATTGATACTGCGAGCGTGATCATAGTGGCTATGTTGATATCTGCTCTTTCGTATGTATACAGGGCTAATGAACGAGGACAGGGGAGTTCGACGAACCTGCTACCCACAGACTCAAGACGAACGAATGCGTCGGAGAATAATTATATGCTATGTCTCGACCGCAGTTTTTGCAGAGGGGTTCGACTGCTTCAGATATATGCCATCCGAACATCGAAATTCGCCCATGTCAGGTAGAAGGAGGAAACACGAGCATGGTTGAAGCTGTGGAGGGCAGGCTCTGTCATGATATTCAGAGGGGAAATGCACCATGAGACGAGCAAGACAATCGGGTGGCCTGAATAGGCGGTATACCGAAGGCGGCCAGCGCTATGTTTGACACATTGCGGGAGCAGGAAACGCTGCCCGAGACTGTTGAACGATTTTTCAGTCTGGATGACTATTCCGTCCCCAACGGCAATTTACCGCGTCGGACACCGAGACATCTCTCCTCAAGGGACGACGAAGAATAGGAGCCGGCCCTCCCTCTACGCCCTACCACCATGGGAACAATGTGGGTACTCCACGATTAGAGAATGCAAGGCGTTGTAGGTTTCCCAGGGAATGCCGAAGCTAGGTGTTGGCCAGATGAGGTTTACAAGCTGATTGACCAACGGGGCTCTTGTACCATTACTCGATCAATCTACAATACCCCCGTCGCCGTCGAATCTAGGAATCATGTCCACGATATGATTCCAAGTATGATTCCCATAGTCCCGATGCGGCATCGCACTGGTTCGAAGAAGCTGCCGTCTGGGTTATATTTGAAGGACGATGTCGAGTGAATGCGGAGACCTTCGTAATTCCAACCCTTTCTCAAGATAAAGAGGCGTGTCAACAGCGCAAACCTGACAAGCCAGTGCGGACCCTTCGATACATTTTATATTGTTCCCGAGTCATATGGCTCGTCTGCCGAATAGATCAATGCCGGTCCTGCCACATGGTCCTGCCCCATAGTCCCCTTCTTTCTGCTCTCGGTCGGCCACCGATAGGGAGGGGTCGTTCTTGAAAAAAGGTTCACTGGTTGCTATTCCTTCAAGACGGTACACTGTCTTCGGAAAGGGCTTGATCAGGTTTGAGGCCGCTAGGTCAGGGCCAGGGACTTGGCCTCAATGCACCGAGGACCTGCAAGGCAACCGGCCTTAGAGCTCAAAGGCAGAGCATCTTACGTGGAACAACTGCTCATTCGCTATCGATTTCTGCCTTTCTCTCCTTTTGGATCAGTCACCACTCGCTATCCATAGCCCATGTAAGGAGGGTGAAGGCGGAACTCACATCTTGACCCGGCTTAACCACGCCGTCCAGCCTAGGAAAAGTGCCGGCCAGTTTTCAAAGCTTGTGACAAGAAACAGTCTTTTATCATTTCTTACCGACCGCCCCAGTGATCCACGAGATATGTGGGTAAGGTGGGTTCGGGACCGGGAAAGAGGTAGGTAGACATGGAGATTAATGCTGATTTCGAAATTGATTTTACACTCCGGATAGAGAGGGGCGACACGGTCAGGTGTTGAATAGGGTTAGACATCGAGGCTCAGCTATATTGGGCTAGTCCCAGTCGCTCCTGAGTCCTGTCAATGTGTCACTCGGTAGTTGAAAACACGCTGTTACATGACAAGAAACTCTAATTCCCCGCCATTTCATTAGGTATCGCAGCTATTCTACTGACCAAATCGTCCTTTGGTACTCGACGATACCCAAGTATCTTCTTTGCCATACCTACTAACCTCAGTCTCCTATCCCGGGATCCAGAGATCTTTTGCTCGATTACCTATACCACTCCGTTCGTCAATTCTGCTTTTCCATGTCTTTATATTGTTTTGGGTTTTGGCATATTTGTGATCCCCCTCATCTTGCAGGTAGCTCTGTATAGGGTTCCCATCGAAGATCACCTCCACTCGCCGGGGACTCTCTCGCCCATTGTACTACTATATCATATGTGTCCGGTTGATCTATCAGATTTTCACTCGAGATCAATGGAAGCTGCCATCTGAGCCAGGGCCGATAAGCATCACATTCAAGTTCTCGAGTCTCTTCCTACTCTTTGTTTGCATTGTTGCTCTGTAACCAAATCCTTGCTCTCGTTTAGTTGTGGAGGCGCTGTCATAACTGCGACAGATTTTTCAGAGGCCGATACTGAGCAGATCCTTCTTTTCGTACTTCTATACGGGGAATCTGAGGGTATATTTTGAGTGCCCAGCTAGTCTATGCATTACATATCTACAACTCGAAGTTTCTACACGATCCCATTGGGTACATGGAGCCGTGTCGGTTTTCCAGGATGAGAATAACTGGTGCGTGAGAGCCCAAGGGCCAAGGGGACCCTTCCCACTCATTACAGAGTACGCATCTTCCGCCTTGGCTTCATCAACCTACCGGTACCTACCTTCTCTTCCACCTACCAGGTCACTCAAATTTTCAACGCCTATTTTTGCCGCTGTAAGAGAACTGATCTTGCTGCCCGATGAGCTCGCTTACTTCAGTGCCCGATATATCGTTTCATTCCAGGGCTAGGTATTTGAATCCTTCACTTCACAGACTATGGGTCGATGCACAACCCCATTCCTATCGTCTCATGACTCACATCACCGACCAAATGAGGGTTTGAGTCATGTGGGAAGCGTTTGTCCGGCCGCCTAAAGTACAAGATAAGATCCGATAGGGGAGTGTCTCGGTCTCATATTGAATGGGCTTACTAGTTGTAAGTTGGGATCCATCTCAATCCGGGCCATAACCATGACGGAGTTTTCTGCGGTTGGGACGAGTCGGGGAAATTTACGATGACTCTGAACGCGGCTTGGTGTGCAATACATTGCATGGCGTCGCCCCCCGAGTTCCTGTCGTATGGCATCCCTGTTCCTCTTCAGTGGGTGGGCGCCAGCGCCGAAAGCTGACGGCCCCCCTGAGGCAACACTGCTTCCTTTGAAAATTCTCCAAGTGGAATTGGGGAGATCTATCCGTTCTAAAACTACAGAAAGCTCTTGTATCCCATGTATCCAGCCAGATTCGACCCTACGGCGTCGTTAATATTTCAAAATGTCAACAACAAGGTCAGAGATAGATCCCTGGCCGCGGAAGAGAAGGAATTGCAGTGTGTTTGCCGCAGCTTTCCGCTCGTTCCTCAGCTCACTACATCGGACTCGAAATGGTTTGTTTGCTACAAGTGGTCCAAGATTGACAGGACAGGAATATTAAAAGGCGGGCTCTCCATACTACCATTGATACTCTTTTATTGCAAGATCGCCCTATTCTATACTCGATAACAAAATGGACGAAGATACATGTTCGCATTGCGAAAAGATCTTTGCCGGACCTCATGAGCTAAGACGCCATTTCGAGGAACAGCACAACCCTATGAAACGTTGTCCCTGGTGTGACTTTACGGAAAAGAGGAAGGAAAGGTTGTTTAAGCATATGAAAAAGTGCAATGTGCCGCGAGCAGAACATCGTACCTCTCTCGGTCTGTGCCCCTGGTGCAATCATACGGAACCAGTTAAGGAAGACCTTTTTGTGCATATAGCCAGGACTCCTAATCATAAAAGACCGTACAAGCAACGTTCAGTCTTGGGTACGTCCCTTCAAAGATTCTAAGAGTGTCGAGGACTGATCTCGAAACTCAGCAGCATCGATGAACCTATCTCCAGCTAGGAGTCGCAAGCGTATAAGCCGAAGCAGTCGTTCATCCTCTGGAAATTCGATATGTTTACAAGACGAAGGTACGATGATAGCCCATAATCACAATTATCCTACTGACTATGCAACCAGTAGATAAAGTGTCATCAACCTTGACACCTGCAGGCAGAGACGTCAGCCCAGCATTCTCGAACTTAAGCCTACAACAGAGCCTCCGAGGCCAGGAAACCCCAACGGAGGCTTTCCAACATATCACGTCGCATCCCGAAAGCCAGGCAGTATCCCGCGCTGTCTCAGCTGGAGCTGATCCGAGCCTGTCGCCGTTAATGTTTTCGCCTTTCGATAGTCAAGACCCGTGCATACAAGACACTTCTTGGATTCAGTTCTTTGCTGATAGCTTGGATCTCTATCTAGCGACGACTTCTGATGCTCCACGCCCTGAACACATCGACAACCCCGTACACCTGGATTCCAGCCTGCTTGCCAACCCAGCCCAGGCAGCGACTGGCTTTCCCCTTGCGTTTGGACAACGTCCACAACACCCAACCGACTTCTACACTCTCCAAAGCTCCTACTCGGAGTCTGCAACAGAGCTTTTTAATGAAGATATCTCAGTGCAGATAACAGATGGGGACTCGCCTCTCTTGTTTCAATATGACCCGCTACCACAGCTCAGGGACCTCAACTTCGACTTCCTCGAAGACTTGGTAGATCTGAACCTGCAGGCTTCCACGGAGTTCGGATGGGCGGGCTACTTAGGATAGAAGAAGCGGATCGCAAACCCCGGATATACGATAATTCTGTTACGTGCTCTGGTGCGATTTTTCTATTTTTTCTTCTTCTTTCTTGGTGTTTAAGTATGCTCGCTTGGTTCTTTTAGTGTTTTTTTTTTCTCCCTTATTTGATATCTGCGGTATTGATTCCCACTGTGCGAATTTCGATACCAATTTCACCAGCATTTCCTCCCTAAGAAAAATTGCCTCCCCTCACGACCCCGTGATACCCCCGAATCGAAACAGAAAGAGAGAGAGAGAGAAATAACACGTGATTTCAATAGCCGAAGGCATTTACTTCACTCAAGCGACGCCAGAGCCGGTCTTCCCTTCCCACCACCACCTCTCCACTCAATTCAGGAGAAAAGTCAATCACTCCCAGCCGGGAAAACCAGCTCTCTATTTCCCAGCTTGGCGAACTAGGAGGCCAACCAACTTCTGCAGCAGCAAACTTCTCGGAGTTGACTTTGAAGAAGAAAGAAACTGCGCCGGAGAATAAACTGACAGTTCAGTTCAGTGAAGAGAAGGCTCCGAATTGAAAAGGGAGGAGGGGGGGAGTTGACGAAGTCTGCAGACCTTCTCTCTTTCAGTACGGTTTGTTTTCCCGCTGCCAGCAGCAGCAGCGGGCGAATGAGCTAGTTGTTCGAGTTATATAATACGAGAGCTCTCTGGCTAGCGGCTTAGGGGGACAGACAGGCCTCTTTTTCCCCTCTGTATTCACTTTCATATTCACGAGCTTGCTTCTTTCCTCTGTGAAATCAGCATGGGAGGGAGTTTGGTTGGTTCGTTCGTTTACGATTTTGATTCTGGAACTTAAGCCTCCTCCTCCACCAAAAAAAAAGGAGGGGGGGGGAAGAAAAGGCCACAGCCTAGAGCGCAGAGCGGCGAAGGATCCTCTCCCTCTCTCTACATTCGAGACTAGGTACTTCCTAGGCTCTCCACTTACTGGCCTGGCCCGACAACACACGTGCAAATCTGATTAAGTCTACGAATGGATATTAATTCCAACAAGGAGGATAAACGTACGTAAAGACATACGTAAAGACGTACGTCGTCTAGATGTCCCCGAGTCACTCAATTAATCCACTTCGTATCAACCATCTCACTAATTAATAATCGGACGAGCAGCTAGCTGTGCGTAGTATTGATCGATGATAGATCGGTATTGCGCAATGCGCTGCGATGGGTTTTGGTTGGTAATCACAGGACACGGAAACCACGATAACCAGTAGGGAGGTAGGAACGGCAGGTGGGAATGTAGGTATTTAATCAAATCAAATCAATTCTCGCTCGCTTACTTACTTATGCCTCTTCCGCGAAGGATAGGCACCTACCTCCCTCGTACGTACGTACGCCCCCACCCCCCGAACGACACTATACTACATGCAGCCAGCCTCTCTAGCTCACCCCACTCACTCAGCCTCCTCGGGTCGGGTCTCGTATCCCCTCCCTTCAGCATCGTCAATGTTCACATCGCTAAGCATACAGTAAGATATATAAGCGCTAGCGCGCCCTTTTCTTCTTCTCGTCGACTCATGATACCCAATGATGTAGAACAGTATAGAATAACTCCC